GGGAAAGAGAAATCATATTTTCTTGCTGCGCGCTGCCTGCAGCCCCCCAGCTGCATTAGATCGGAATGTTTGTTTTGCTTTAAACATATGGGGTCTGCATGTATTTATCCCTGCCGTAAGTCTGTTTAATCACTTTTGCCAAAAAAGTTTAACCCACTAGGAATGTAAATAATTTAAATGACCTTCCTCTTCCCCCACCAAGTTGAAGTCAAGCTTGTAGGGGTTTCATGTGTCTTTGCAATTTGACTATATGCTTGAGCAGTAATTACACAGCCAAAATATCAACAAACACAGAAAAAAATTTGCATATGGAAACGTAACCCCCAGCTTACACTTTCCATATAGTTGCTCGTCTTCTAAGAGTGGGGGGAGTGTAGGACTCAGGGGCTCAGGCCTCACTGAGAGTTAGGCTGTGCCTGCCCGGGCAGTGCGGCGAAGGGCTGGGGACCTCAAGGCAGTACAGCTGCCCAAGCATCACGCCTCCCCTGAGATGAAATACCCAGCTCCTCAGCAGCATAACCTGAGCAGTTCCACATTAGCACAGCTCTGCTCCTGGCACTCTCTCTCTACACAGTGTCTCACTGGCCATCCAGACCATCATTCAATAGGAGCTGGGCTCCTCTGAAAACCCAAGCTCTTAATGCTAACCTCCGCTGTGTGTCCTTAAGTATCTTCTGCCTCAGGACTTCAGGAATTACTTTTCTATACACACCAACAAGTAGAATAGTCTAATTAGAGATCCAAGGCATATTAAATATTCTAATTGTTAGTTAGCTCAACAACGCAAACCAAACACTCAGCTCCACAGTTTACCAAAACACTCATTGGTGTTGATCTGGGCAACAGATTCCCTCAAGCAACAGTGTTCCTGGGGTGAAGAACAATGGGACGTAGCCCCACAGAGGTTTTCTCTGAGGGCAGTTTTCCAAGAAAACTGCAAATAACCAGCTGCCACCAGATCATCCTGAGACACGCAAGACTAAAGCTGGTTAGATCAATAGATAAATGGTGGGCAAAAAGATATTTTCTTTGGCCGATATTGCAGAATTTTTCCACTTTCAGGGAGTTGGTAGGAGTATTGAAGTTTAAAGGCATTTGGATGTGAACGGAGTAAAAGACTTGGCTCCAAACCACCAGTTCTGATAAGCAAGGGCCTGCATGGTACCGAAAGCAACCAGGTCAAGCTCACCACTGGTATGACATCCTTGGTTTAAGTGGAGCAAAAGATACATTAAATTGTTTTCATTCTTCTACTGATGCAAAAAAAAAAAAACAAACCCTCATTTAAAAATAAAATTTCACAATCCTGTGATAAGGAGTGTCAACTACAGATCAGTAATATATTTCCTGAGGAACCTGACAATGAATTTAGCATGATACTCACCACATTGGTTTCAGTTACACACCAAATCTTTACCAGGCTTTTGTTTTTTGCTGATTCATCATTTGTAGCAATTGCATTTATTACTGATTTATCAAGCTTGAAAAAAAAAAGAAGGGAAAAAAAAGCTTTATTCCAGCTTGCATCACACACTTCTGTTCAGCTCCACTCAAATAACTCCCCTTGGAAGCTCAGCCACATAAAGCCTGCATGACCATCTATAGTGCTGGAGCTGCTGCTCAACAGCTAGGAGGGGGTTTACTCCCCAAAAAAGGTACAACTCTACGTGCACAAACACATATTCTCCCCAAATCACCCTCCACCTCGTCTCACCCTTTCGGTTTAAACAACTACACTGACACAACTGCCTAAATGTATTTACTGTCATTTTAGGAGCTGTGCACATCCCCTCTGGCCTCCATCTGCCCCTCCAGATACATCCAAGCTTCCCATAGTTTCTGTATCAGCTATGTAGATCTCATGCAGATCTTCTGGATGTGCTAGGTTCTCTCAGCTAGTACTATCTGCCAATGTCTAGGCAACAGGCTGCCATCCCATCCATCCCATGTGTCTGTATTTGTCCTCCCCTCCCTTCCCAGTCCTCCTAGCCAGATCTACCATCATTAAGGTGAAATGTGGGGGGAATAGAAACAGGAAATGTAGAGCTGAGGCTTTATGAAATGTGAATAAAAAGAAGAATCCATCTGCTAATGAGCTTTACCCCAAGGACACAAAGAAGTGAGTGAGAGCCTCTCCCATATTTAGAGCATTTTGATTAGCCATGACTGAACCAAGTAAGCCGCTTCCTTGAGGAGAGAAAGAGCTTACCTCAATGATGAGCTTTGTAAAGGGGTCTGTGATAACTTTTAGTAGCTCAGGGGCATCGTCACCACTTTCAAGATGAAAGGACTCAACTATAGCATTGGTGAGATGGTAAAGATACCCAGAAATAACTTCAATGGGCAACAGCGCAAACACAGCGAGCCAGTTAAAGAAATCATGGATTGTTGCCCCAGCAAAGGCCCTGCAAGGAGAAATCAAAAAACAGAGCTGCTTTTAATCAAATAACATGTGCACAACATCAATTAAATATGATATCATAGAGGCGGGGATGAAGCCCATTTCAAGATGAGAATCATTTAATTTCTGGGATCACAGGAGATGGCTGCTTTGCTATAGAGCACGAAGTTGTCTCCACACCATTGACTGAGTGAAAGAGCCAGCCAGGTGAGTGAAACAAGACAAACCAGAACAGGCAAAAGTGTTCCCTAACACAAGGCTGCCAAGGGTACTTGTCTGAAGAAAGAAGTGTCTGTACAGCCTACGTATGTTTTGCCTCTCACCCATTTTTAGTACATTTTTAATCCTCTGCCAGGCGTTGCCTCTGGGACCTGCTCTCCCTGACTCATGTGGGAAGATGGCTCTTTGGAGCCCTCACATGTTCTTGCAAACTGCTGGTATACAGCTCCCTTCCAGCTTCTCCTCCTCAGCCTGAGGAGCCACAGCTCTTCCCTCAGAGGCACTCTTTCCCACCTTCCTAATAGCTGTTTGTGGTCCTCTTAATTCTTTGCCATCTGCCTGTATTTGTTTTAAAATATAGCTCCTTAAATTAAGCATTGTGAAGGAAGAAAATGTGGAGGAAAAATTCCTTGAAATGCTAATCCTGTAATTCAGGTTCCTACTGACAAACTGCCTGAGGGGAAATCGGGGGAAAATTCAAAGTAGGCCAACAAAATTGACGGAGCTACCGTCTTCAGTTTACAGACTGAAGTGATTGTTAATGATGTTAATGAATGTTAAAAATCAACTTCATTCTCATTATTATTTAAATTATTTTCCTGACCAGATACGAATAGGCCACTTTGGTGTTAGAATGTGAGTGACAGAGAATAGCACAACCAAAGATTCAGGACAGTAAATCTTGGAGAAGTGTGCTTTGGCTAAGTGTATTTCGTGCTTCTGGTATGCCATAAATGACAAGGTACCAAAGTCTCATATCCCTCCCAAGTTCACTGCTCATCTGCAGTAAGCCATGACCTCTTTCAGCGATGACGTCAAGTGCCAGACTAAAAGTTGTCACTGTATATATTTGACAGCCAGAACATTTCTCTACAGTTACCAGCTCTTGCTTACCGTAGACTTAAAAAACCTTCAACATTGAAGTCTCTTTTAAGGAGAGTAGACCAAAATACTGTCATATTAACTTCTTGTACAGCCCTCCCTTAATTAAGAGATAATCAAAGGTGGGTGGTATAGTGGGAGCCGTTGAAAATTTAACCATGTGCAAGATCCAGTTAAAAATGGTGGATCCTTACCAAAACAAAAATCTTTTAAAGGAACCCAATATGCTTTTCTTCAGGTATGTGAAGCCATATATCTAGACAGCATTATACCTTGGCCATGGCCATGCTTGTGACTTTCCTAACTAGACAATCAAGTTTTGGTCAATAGAAAGGTTGAATGGCAGTAGTAGTGATAGGGAATATAGAAGAAAACCTACAAAGAAGGAAGAAAAGCAACTTTTCAGATCTAGTGTTTAAGTACAATACCTTCTAAATTCATTCCTGTCCCCAGCTTGCATGAGTGCCACAATCGTGTTTGTAACTGAGGTGCCAATGTTTGCCCCCATTATGATAGGAATAGCTGATTGAACAGTCAGCACTAGAAAGCAGAAAAGGAAGCACTGAATGAAAAAAATCAGATCATCGGCAGGCTCTTTGTTCCAATGAAAATTTACATCTATTAATGTCACTGGAACCCTGACTTCCCTTGATGTCACTGGGATTAGGTGCTCCAATCCAGATAGGTTTGCTTTAATGAAGCGCCCTGGGAACGTGGTACTCCCATACTTCCACGCTCCCACAATCCCCACTGAAACTGCAGCCCATGGTTATCCGTTTTCGCCACATGTTAGAGGGCCAGAGCAAGATGAAGTCTCTTCTTTCACAGGCATTTTCCTACTTACTGCAGAATTTTGAAACAATGCCAGCGAAACAAATGAAGTTCAGTAACTGGCTAACATGAGAAAAGTATGCAGATACTTCCAAAATTAATGCATTCAATGCCAAGGCTTCCAATGATTTTCATTGCAGTTAAGGACTTACTAATACTACTATTATCATTATTACTTTTTAAATTTTTGTATCAGGGCAACAGCTGTGAAAATCTTTTCCTACAGTCTCTACTCTTACACCCTAAGCTTCTACAACTTGAATACAGGTGGGAAGTTTGCACCCCAGACCAAGATTTATGAGTGATCTCTAGGAAGATACTGTAAAGCAGACTTACGTGTGGAGGACACCATGCTGACCACAATGGATGAAGAAGTGCTGGAGCTCTGGACCATAACGGTCACCAGAACTCCAATCACCAATCCCGCAACAGGATTAGACAGCACTGAATCATCTTGAAAAATGTCCCCTGCCGCTTTACCTACAAAACACCATATTCTCAGAGTGAGGGAAGTGCAAGGTAAAGTCCATAGGAATTATCAGAGCATTTAATTAAAGATCATTCAACCATTTAATTGATACATATATAGCCATGCTTGCCAGCCAAAAAATGTACAAGGTTATATAGCCCAGGGATCCAAATTCAGGTCCTGAACTCTCAGTTTCTCAGCTGTCAGAGAATACTTTATATTCTCTCATTTCAGTGACTGAACAAGCTCTGCTGAACTCTGCAGAGAACTATATAAAACTACAGCCATCAGAGGAAAGATTGTAGGACAAAAAACCACACATGCATAGATTTAAATGCTATTACTGCCTTGTTATTTTTGGTTACTGCGTCAAGGAAAACTATTTTAACAATCCTGAGTAATTCTGTTCCTGTGGCTTTCTGTGTTGCCAAAAATCCAAAATACCTCCCCAGAAGCTTACATATTTCTCTGATAACCACTTCTGAATCCATCAGCAGAATTCAGCCCTTGGACATAGGTAAATGTAAAAAATACATTTCAGTAGTTTAACACCTTTGAAAGATCTGGGGGACATTTCAGTGCTGGATGCTTTTATCAAGAGCACAATTTTCATATTTCACCTTGTTAAAATGTCTTTCACATGGGACAGATTTATGCACAGATGCATTCATGTAAACTGTCACTAAAGTAACAAGACCCTACTAAGAAATCAGGGCCAATAATCCCTACATCAACAGCTCTTTGGAATTTGAGAAACAAGGGCCCTTTCAAACTGAAGGTCAGTCTTCGATCAGAGCAACTTCCTTCTGAGTCTATATCTCAACACACAAACCTATGGGGAACGTTCTTGAAGAGTGATATTTGTAATTTAGTCGCTCAGATGAAATTTACTGCCTCATTCATAGTTTATTCTTGATATTTTAGACATTTTCATACCTCCTACCAGTTGAAAAGCAGAGCTCAGTACATCCAGAGAACACACGAACAAGTAGAGTAATCCAAGTAGCATAATAAACTTCCCTATCCCATAGAGTACACGAATGATTTTTCCTTTTCTATCCAATTCTGCAAAACAAACACATTATGCATAAAAGACTTGCTTGATGTGTCTGGTGTTCCCTGTGGAACAGTCTACCACACAAGCAGAGACCATAGGTTCAGAGAGAGTGTCATGACCCCAATGTGTGATTAAACCCGAAAGAATGTTCTTCTTGATCAAATTGTAACTGCAAAAGCAGGTAGTTCATTTACCTAGTTTTACCATGTAAAAGCTTTTGGTGTATGACAAAAGCCTTATGAAGTCTGAGGTTGACCCTTGGTTTTACACAGTCATCCTACTGAGTAAACAAAGACCAATAGGAGCCTGGATATAAAACCGTATCAGTTTTGGATTGTTTTCCATATATCTCCTTGTGTTTTAAGGAGGGTAAGCAGCATGATTTCCAGATTCTTCTTAACTGACTAAATAAAATACGCCCATTCGCTGTTTGGGAAGGTGAGACAGTGAAAAGCCTACATCTGAAAACTCCTCAAATCTTAAATTCATTTCTGCAGCAAATATAATTTCAGAAAAATAACTGAGACAAAGGGAGCAGAAGTAATGGAAAAAACAAATGCAGGTAACTTATTTACTGAGAAATGGCTACCTGACCACTTGACCCCAGTGTCCTGCAGTTCTGGCAGAGCCCATGGGTCACCTTCTTCTGGCCTTGTCTCATCTATCAAGGCTATTGTGGAAAATGCAGGTTGAATTTCCCCTTTATTTCCAAGTGAAGCCACATTGCCTGATGAAATAGAACATTTAAAAAACAGATTAATTAACTTCCATCTTCTCCAAGGAGCCCCAAAACTTACATATTTCTGTAACTCACAGGTGAGCGCACCTTTGTAGTTACCTTTGTAATTTTCTCCTTCTTTCCCAGCCATGTTCTGGTTTTGTTTGGAAGAGTCCCCAATATAGTTATTGGTTTCAGGCTTTTCCACCTCAGGCCAGGGAGCCATGATCTGCGACTAACAAAGTAGTGCTGATTAAAATGCCTGTGCAGTCAAGATATTCAACTTACAACAGGGTATGTGAGAAATATGATTAAGTTTAAGAGCAAAAGAGATGCAAATGGAATGGAGGCAATATGTCCTTAAACACAGCTTTCTACTAATCTTTGTGAATTATTCCTTTATTTACAAAATTGATGTCTCAGTTGTTTTTTAAATTAGACAGTTGATTTATTTGTGCAATTTACACAACGAAAAATAAATTTCCATCTCATCCCTGTCTTCTTGTTCACTTTTAACTGTCATGAAAGCAAAGATTCTTCTGCTTTCCAAACCTTAGCATTTCTTTAATTCATTTTATCTCCTTTCAGCAAACAGTCAGAGGACTGTTTTACTTTCTTCCACCTTCTGGATTTAACTGACTGCCTTTACCAAACTGGTAATTCAATATACAGACCTTAGCAAAGAAAGATCTTCCCTACAGCATTGCCTAGTTTGGGTCACATATACTAAACACCATCTTCTTTATTGGTTCATTCCCATGGAAGCATGGAGAGGAACATGACTCTGGGCAAGGTAGAGGAAGATCCCAGAGCTTCAAGCTCCAGAATGACGTTTGCTGAATGACTGGACAAGAGCGTAATTAGACAACAGTGGCCATTTGCAGGTCTGTGTTTGCCTGTAACCCACAGCTGACACTGCAAGCGGAGTTGACTTAGTGGCAGCAAGGTCAGGCTCACCCATCTCACGTAGGGTCTCTGCCTGAACCTCTGCCTTCCTGACCCCTTTTGAGCACATTTGACATGCATTGTAATATTAACCAATAATAACTTCAAAAATAAGACATCACATGGCCAAATCCTGCTGGCACAGGTACAAGCACATGTGACAGACCTATCCCAGCCGCAAGAGGAGGAGGCAGCTGTTCCTTGAACCAAAGTCTGGAAGAGCCCTACTTACTTACTGCACCAATACCGGTAGCCAGAGGGAGGGACATGAAAGAGGAGGAAGGTGACCATGGGGAGCCAAGGCAATATATGATAATGCTTCTACTTTTCCAGGCTTGTAAGGCTGTTGGTCAGCTTAGACAGCATGACTGAGAACTCAGCAGAAAGGAAGAGAGAAGTGAACCCTACCCAGAAAAGCCTCACCTTTGGGTCTGTCTCTTCCACCTTCTCTGCCACACGAGTTGGTCAGTGCTGCGGGCAAAGCTGCCCCGCGGCCGCCACCGCTGGGACCCACGTGGCTGAAACATCGCTGAGCAAATTTGCCTGCAATACTCCTTATAAACACGGCACGTGTGCCCAGCCTCCGAAAGTCAGTGTCAGAGTTGGTATCATGCTCCCGTAAACAAGGCTTACCTGCATTTAGCAGCCACTCTAAGGGAGTATCATTAATCATTCATTTAATCATAATCCTTTATGGAGCTGATGGTGAAAATGTTTTGTCCCTGCCCGTGTCAATAAGCCACACATCCTCCTCCTTTCGCTGGGAAAGAAATGTCACAGACAAAATCACTCCTGTCTTACTGTAACAGAGGAGGGTATTGTTTTCTGGCACTCCACAAAGGAAAGAGTATCTCCCCTTCCACATTAGCAGGAAAAATCATTCTACAGTCCCATTAGCAAAAACTATGCTTTTACACATTCTTTATCTGTAGCGTAAGATCCAGAGCAGCTCCCAGAATACACAAAGAAAGATCTCAGAACAGACGGAAGAAAATCACTCTTGCCTGTTTCAACAAGGGTTTCCATTTGCTTGGAGCAAATGCTCATATTTTCACCCATGCCAGAACAACCTCCAAGCCCCACCCATGCCAGAACACCTCCGTCTTGTTGAACGAGTTTCATTTATTCATGGTCAGCATTTAAAGAGCTCTAAAAAAAAAACCCAAACCTGCTCAGCACCAGTGCTTCTTAAGTGAAATGCAATTGTGAAAATGCATTGGAAATTCAGATGTGAAGTTGCATATTCCCACCATGGAGAGACACAGAACATGCTGGACACCACCAGCCCGACAGACGCCATCCGTACTTTTACAGCTCTTCTGTTAAGCTCAGAATGGAAACGAAGGATTCAGCTTGCATGATTACTATATGGGAGCTGAGCCGATGCATTCACTGGAGAAACTGGAACTTGAAAACTTCAACAGACAAACAGCCTCTATGTCTCCTAAATAAACTCACCCAATTCAAGAATTCAGCAGGGCATTTTTTCATAATAAGCATCTCTCATGTTCCTGAGGTGCTCAGCATCCCACAGGTACGTCATGTATTATTATTGTTTTTGCTTTATGTGATTAAATACCCTAGAATGAGAGTTGACCACCTCTGTGGAGGAAGTTTTTTTTATAGGTATGTATACAAAATTATTCATAAGATTCCTTGCCAACCTCTGACCTGGGAAGGTAGACTTGAATACCGGAGGTCCTTACAGTATCGGCCCTTGTGCATTTGGGTTTGCAGAGGTATTACTAGAAGAGCCCGTTCGATGTGATTGGTATCAAGGACTGATGAAAGCAGAACCATCTAGATCCTTGAAGCGCTACCAAAGCTGACAGCTTTCTCCAGAACCTGACCCTTGTTAAGAGGAACAGCTGAGAAGATAGTTTACAGCCACCTGATACTCTGTTTGCTAGAGTCCTGGCCACAGCTACTTACTGTTAATTAATTGCTGTGCTACAAGGATAACCTACATTCTGCTGTTCTCCCTTCAAAGAATTCTTCCTTGGCCCAAATACAGACATTAACATATTGAGAAAATACTCAGAAGAAAATCTGGGTGCTGCGGAGGAGCAGAGCAGTGGGTGACAAAGCTAACTGCATCATTCCCTGGCAGCTCATATTAGCTGCGTCTTTGCAAAGGCTGACGTCAGGCGCAGTATAAAAGACCAACATCATTTGACGCAAGATATAAATGACAATGAAAGCCCTAATAGTGGTTTACTTTTGAACACCGAAGACATAACTACACTGCAAAGGAACATGTTAGAGAACGGGCAGAGGATGGGCTGGTGACGACGCACACCGCAACAAGGAGCTACGTTCAGCTGGACACACCGGTCCAGGTCCATTGGCAGGATAGCCACAATTGCTGGACGAGGTGCCCGGAGTGATGAGCGCTGCCCGTCCCCGTGCCAGCCCGGGTGTCTCAGCGCCGTGCGTCCGCTTCCCACCTTAGCTGGCAGGGCGCCAGCCGGGATGCCTGCACCCGGGGCGTAGTCGTGGAGCTCGCACCCGGATAAGCGTTGGCACTTTGGGTATCCACTTCTTCAAAGCTGTGCTGAAATGGGAGCCAATTTCCTCCTGAAAGTGGCGGGTCAAAATATGCTATGCATATTGCAAAGGTCTGGAAACTAATGCCTGCGTAAACAGTAATCCAGTCCGTTTCAGTGAACCTCACGGCAAATCCTCTCACGCCACCATGTGCGCTCCTTTCGCTGTAAGTATAGTCTTTCCCCACCTCTGGAAAATGCTAAGTATGTGTGACATCCTTTCTAACTCCAAAAGAAACTGAAACCTCTTGCTCCGAAGAGGGAGATAGATGGCAATCAATGACATTCAAATTCTGAAGCAAAATGTGAGAGTCGAAGCCAAAGTGGGCTCCCATGGTTTTATATCCATACTGACTCTCTCACTGCAGCGTTTCAAAGAGTTAAAGTCTCTGGGGAATTAGGGAATTATCTGAGCAACACTGGGTGTCATGCAGTTGCGTTCCTCAGTGACTCACTGGGCTGTAACAGCATTGCCTCTGTTGCAGGGCTAGACTCTGCGTGCTTTTCAGTTTTAAATCAGGAACAGTTGTAAATGCATTTATTTTGCTGGACTTAACACCAAGAATGTGAAGTACCACTTGCATGTGCCTGGACAGTATTGTTTGTACCTCTCCACCCGTGACAGCTCACTGAAAGGCCACGTTGTGCCTGAAATAAGAACTACGAAGCAGTAACCCTTAAAGAAATCTCACCTCCAGGGGAACAGACCCAGTCAAACCAAGATGAAATAAAAGTACTGGAGAAAATAGCAGTATTGTCAAAACCAACTGGTAATAACTGCAACAACCACCAACATGACCATACATGTGCCTATAGGTTGCTTAAGCAGCTCTAAATCAAGTTTTGGGTTCAGCCAGGCTTTCCCCTCTCTCGCTCGCTCGCTCTCCTTCTCTCAGCTTTTCTACAAAAGCACATAACTCTCTTGTCATTTGCCATTGTGCTACGGGTTTTATGTTAAGATGGGATTTATCAGCTAATCTGATAGCTGACTATATGACTTAGTAAAAACGAGTATTTACCATGCATACTTCATAGGAGTAAATACCAAGCTACATAGCCATTGTTCTTATACACAGTTTGAAGAAACACTGTCTTTTTTCCCCTCAAAATGTGTAATTTCCAACCTAGAAGTACAATATGTAAAGACAGGAAAGGAAAGATCTTCAGCCAGCACAAATTCATTCAGTAGCTTTACATCAGCTGATAATTTTGCCCCAGAACCTGTTCCATGGCAGCCACAAAGCCCCAGGTGCAACAGAACAGGCAACGACTTAAATAAACACCAGCAATGATTCAGCCCTGCTAGGAGCAAGTCTTGTCTTTGCTCTGGCACCAGCTATTTCCTTGGGGCTTCTTCTCTGAAGAAGTTAGCAGGCTTAGCCAGCATGTAAACCTTCAACTAATGGAGTAGTAAAGGAAAAATAGACATGTGAAAGCTAAAAAAAAAATGATCATTGTGCTCACTGTTTATTCCTATGGATCCCTGAGACTTAATGCTCACAAGCTTGAATGTAACACGTAGCAAAACTAAAAAAAACATATAAAACAAACTATTAAAGAGAACTAATTTCTAAGCAAGTGCAGAGAGGAAACGAGCCCCAAACATTAATTTTTGCTTTCACAACAAGCAAAGCATCAGACACTGCCACTGAGGAGCCAGAGCCAGGAAATATCAGTGGACTACTTGAAATGCCTACCAGGTGTTTAAATGAAACAATTAATTTTTTAGAGTAAAATAACAGCAGCAATAAAAATCCCACCAACAAGGCACTACAACAGATCTACCCCACCCCAAACACGAAACACATAGTAAAGAATTGAGAGAGGAAAAAGTAATGACATAAAAAAACCCAACTTACTGATTTAATGGCAGAGCTGCTAATAAAAGTTTCTGAGAAACCAGTTGATTTCTGCCTACTGCCACATTAGTTGAGCTAACCACATTAGACTGATGTATTCCTTTTCCCTCCGTGTATGAAGCTGAATTAGCATAAGAAAATGTTTCCATCAAGAATAGCCTGACACAGCCATAGTGCAGCACACAGACTTTACACACTATCTATGCTAACACACGAACTGACAGTATTTCCTTCCAATGTTTCATTAATCATAGCCTAGACATTTTCCAGTATCCAATACCACTGATTACTATGACTTAAAATCTCACTTCTTTTCAATCCAAACAATAGTTAAAACATACTTACTTATGCTGTAGGCAGTTATTTCTGGGTTTTTTGACACATGCTAATAAAATGCTTTTTTTCTTTTCCATATTCCATAAAAATAGATCTCGTTATTTGCAGACAAAAAGTAGCACAGTTTGTTTTCAGAACTATGACTTTTTTATCACTTCCTTAAAATATAAATGCAGTTGAAAGAACACAAGGTGAAAATGCTAACAACTGGATGACATTTCACATGCCACTCAAGTTCCCCAGGTTAGCTCTCTGTTGCCATTCCTTGAGCTGCAAAAGCAGACCTCTAGATTTATAAGCTAAACAAGTTCAAAAAAGAAGAAAAGAAAACTTGGTCTTAGCTATTCTTACTTACCACCTCTTTATTCCCAGACAACAGAGCGAACGGATCAACTGGGCAGCCACTGAAACCTGCAATATATATAGACAGGTGTTGAGCAAAGTTTGCTTTCATCACTGCTCACTAACATTCCTATTTTACAGTCCAGAGGCACTGCCTACCTGCAACTTAATGATCACAATCAACCTTTTTTTAGCAGGAGTGGGCAGCAACCAAGACTGCTAAACCTACGGCTATTTCATACTTATCACATTCTAAAAAATGTCCCATCAGCATTTAAGTACAAGTTACTAATGTATTCATGTGAATGCTGGGGAGCGGTTTGTTCCAGCCTGAAAAATTGCCGTCCACCTGATCATTCAGTAATCTTTTTTCCAATAATAATTTTCCAAAAATATTTTGCCATCTCAAAAGTCTGTCAAAAGAGGGTGAAGAAGATGTAGTACTGTTATTTGTCTGTTCAGGTGCCCATTAATCTGCCTAAGCACAGAAGTGAAGGAGAATCAGATAAAAAGCGGTGTAAGTAGGAAACACGTAAGAACTTCTTTGAGGACAGAGGATGGAGTTTCATTCTTATCAGTACTCAACGTTTACAATTAAGGCGAGCTCATTAGCATTTTGGCTGTGGCTCTCCTTCTAAATGAGATTTAAAGATGTAAGGACACCTTTGATAATTGCATTCGGAATGCTAGCGAGGAAGAAGACTGTATAAAAGATAAATGTAAGTAGATATTCAATAAATACAGTATGTAGTACAGATTAGACAAAGCAGTCACCAGCAGTGCCGTCTGTTCTACCGTACTGACCAGCTTACTGAGGAGTTGGGGTGGGCTGTTTTAGGTACTGTAGCTTTATTATCTTTGAATTTTTTCCGTTTCAACAGGCAACTTATACCGAGAAAATAAGCTGTAAACCAGCAGCCTAATCAGCAGATCTGCTCTGTCTGCGTGCACGCAGTCATATCTCCCAGACTTAGTAACCTAGAAAAACAAAACTCTTGCTTTTTTGCATCTTGCAGCCCCGCAGACACCCAGCCTCCAGAGCTGGTGCCAGAACTTACTCTTCACCCGCGTCGGCACCAGGAACGTTTAACCGGCGGTGACCGTAAAGCCCCCGCAGGCAGCGGCGCACCGCGGCGGCGGCGGCAGCGAGGAGC